GTTGGTGTACTATTGACAATGATGCCAAATGAGATCATCTTCCTTGAGCTAGTGTAGCTCTGATAGTTTTTAAAAATTAATTTCAATTTGAGGAAACTTCACTCTGCTGAGACAGAGTTGAAAACAAACCACTAAATTTACATATCATTTTCAAATGCTGTAATAGTCATATTGGTAAACTGTCACTATAGAAAACAAAAATATTTTAATTTTGTCGCATAAACTGCTATCATTTCTGTTGTCATTTTCACCATCTGGTAAATCCACATGGTAATGTAAAGAACCACTATCAAACTTCTAGACCTATACATATACCAATTTAAAAGTTATATGAATTGCTTAATATTACAAAGCATTTCTAAGTCTCTGTGGGCAACTGTAATGAGCACTGTGCTGATTGGTGAGTACCTCTGGAACTACAAACTGCAAGAGGAAGAGACGGAAGAAAATTGACACCAGGCATCATAAGGAAACTATACGCTGTCATTCAAGAATCTATTGTACTGGTGCTGAGAGGAAGGATCTGACAGTTGAATTTGTCTCTTATCTAACTAAGCACTTGTGTTCAAGTTCTCCCTGCTCTCCAAAGCAGTGTCCGTCTCCGACGGTTGTCATGGCCCACCCACAAATGACCACAGAATGAAGCACAGTCACGTTTTGTTTTGGAGGACAGAAAGCAAGTGGAAAAGCATTTTCCTGGGGCCTGAAGAGCGTTATTCCTGAAACAAACGTTCAGAGTTACAGGTCACCAGAGTCCAAGCGTTCACTGAAGGAAACTCAAACTCTGTAAGATGACTCAAAGAGGTTTATTCTGATCTGAGTGTGCGCGACTGCAGCCTGCGGAGACATGCGGTCAAAAGGGCTTGAGGAAATGCACCCGAAGGAGCAGGTTAGTTTGATTTTATACGTTCGTGGAGACAGGAATTACATGTAAGAGTGTAAGTCAGTATGTGGAAGGAATACCTTGGTTTGGCCCGAAAAGGTGAGACACCTTGAAGCTGTAGGGGAGCTTCCAGGTTATAGGTGGGTTTAAAGATTCTTTGATTGGTAATTGTTTTTTTTTTTTTTTTTTTTATTTGAGACAGAGTCTGGCTTTCTTGCCCAGGCTAGAGTGAGTGCCGTGGCATCATCCTAGCTCACAGCAACCTCACACTCCTGGCCTCAAGCATCCTCCTGCCTCAGCCTCCCGAGTAGCTGGGACTACAGGCACGAGCCACCATGCCCGGCTGATTTTTATATTATAATAGTTGGCCAATTAATTTCTTTCTATTTTTATGGTAGAGACGGGGTCTCGCTCAGGCTGGTTTTGAACTCCTGACCTTGAGCAATCCACCCGCCTCAGCCTCCCAGAGTGCTAGGATTACAGGCGTGAGCCACCGCCAGGCCGGTAATTGGTTTAAAGAAGTGAAGCATTGTATGAAGAAGGTTTCAGGTTAAGGCTGTCTGTTAATCAGAGATAAGCCACAGAGGCCAGGCGCGGTGGCTCACGCCTGTAATCCTAGCACTCTGGGAGGCCGAGATGGGTGGATTGCTCAAGGTCAAGAGCTCGAAACCAGCCTGAGCAAGAGCGAGACCCCGTCTCTACTAAAGATAGAAAGAAATTAATTGGCCAACTAAAAATATATACAAAAAATGAGCCGGGCGTGGTGGCGCATGCCTGTAGTCCCAGCTACTCGGGAGGCTGAGGCAGGAGGATCGCTTGAGGCCAGGAGTGGGATGTTGCTCCGTGAGCTAGGCTGATGCCACAGCACTCTACCTGGGGCAACAGAGTGAGACTCTGTCTCAAAAAAAAAACAAAACGCATCCTTTCAGAAAAAAAAAAAAACAAAAAACAAAACAAAAACCAAAAAACAAAAAAAACCAGACAAGCCACAGGACAGTGACACATATTTACCTACACGCAAGTGATCTGTTAAGTAAATTGATGGTGTGCAGGTGTGGTTTGCGCTTTGTCTTACATGATCTCAGGCCTGTTAATGATTTAATATCTTGTTATGAAGAGTAACTGCAAAAGGGAGGCATGTCTGGCTCCCTTTTTACTGCAACTGGCAACCCAACTTGAAGGTTTTTCTGGGGTCCTTTTGGCCAAGGTGGCGGTGGTGGGGGGTCCATTCAGCTGGTTGGGAGAGCTTAAGATTGCATTTTAGTTCAGATAGGTGAGAGCCACCATGTGGTCATCCTCCTCCTCCTCTTCCTCCTTTTTTCTTGTCATAGCCTTATGGAGATATAATTCACATAACATAAAATTCATTCCATTAAAATGTACAGTCACAAGTTGTGCAACCATGATCATTAATTCTGGAATATTTCATCACCCCCCAGAAGAAACCCATGTGCCCATTAGCAATTGGCAGTCGCTCCCTATACTCCCTCCCCAGCCCCTAGCAACCACTAAGCTACTTTATGTCTTTGCCTATTCTGAACATTTCATATAAATAAAGTCACATGGTATGTGACCTTTTGTGTTTGTCTTTTTTCACTTAACATAATGTTCTCATGGGTCATCCATGTCATGGTATGTTTCAGTATTTCATTCCATTTTTTGGCTAAATAATACTTAAGATGGTAGGGATACCAGATTTCTTTTGTTTATACATCAGCTGATGGACATTTGGAATGTGTGTCCACTGTTTTTTTTTCTACTGTGAATTTTTCTATTGTGAACATTTGTGCACAATATTTTGTGGACATGTTTTCAATTCTCTTGGGTCTATACCTAGCAGTAGAGTTACTGTGACATGTGGTAATTCTACCTATGTTTTGAAAAACTGCTGAACTGATTTACAAACTATTTGTGCAATTTTGCAACTCAGCCAGCAGTATATGAGGGTTCCAATTTCGCCACATCCTTATTAACACTTGTAATTGTCATTTTGATTTTAACTATCCTAGTGGGTGGGAAGTAGTATCTGACTGTGGTTTTGATTTGTATTTCTCTAACAATTAATGTTGTTAGGTGTGGGTTTTCATAGATATCCTTTCTCAGCTTGAGAAATTTCCTGTCTACCTCTAGTTTGTTCATTGTTTTTTATCATGAAAGGGTACTGGATTTTACCAAATTCTTTTTGCGTGTCTACTGACACATGTGAAGACACATGCCATATTTTAAAATTCTAATTTACTTACAAAAATTCTATATTATCATTCGATAGTCAAGCAGAAGTATATTTTTAAGTGTTTTCTCTCAAGTGCCAGCATTCTTAAGAATATGGCAATAAAACAAACACATACAGTTAATGTGGTACTTAGAAAAAGGTTGGAATAAAGACTCTTTGACTCTTACCTTAGGAATCTGATTTCTAAGACTAGGTGCTATTTGAGAATAAACTAGTGCCCGAGGACAAAAATTCCAAGGGTTCATATTTAGTCAGTTCTGTCTCTGGCAGAGGCACCAAATTGGATGGTGCTGGTCATGTCTGTGTCTCTGAATGGAAGATTGTCACATCTGATATTCAACAAAGAAAGGCAAAAAGAAGTTGGGAAAGGGATCATTTTCCTTCTGACCATTTCCTTATTGCTTCTGAAGTGCCTCAGTTGTTAGGAGAGCTTGTGAGGAGGAGAAAGGCCATTTTGGAGTGAGAGATACAAGCTTCCTTACAAAACTCAGGGGTGCTTCAGAGAAATCAAAGTAACAGATTGAAGTTGGCAGGGAGAAATGATGAGTTTGGAGGAAAACGTTTGACATCAGGTGTTTGTAGTTTGGAGCACTTTATGTGCATTCTAGTGTCTTTTGTTCACAGGGAACCATTCCTGATATGTTATATGAACATGTAAGCTCTAATATATTTAGAAAAAACTTTATTGAGATATAATTCATATACCATACATTTCACTCATTTAACGTGTATAACTAACACATACACTACACAGAAAGAGTGTTATATAAAATATGGATCCCTATAACTTTGCTGAGCTTCCCAGTGGTAGGGTTTAAATGTACTAGAGAAGAAATTAAATTATTTATTGAATAATACTATAGGGGCTCAAATAATTATTTTAGCTTTCGAAATGTCTCACACACCTGCATAGCAACTATATTTTTGCAAAATCTTTAATTTAAGGAAGCTGGGGATGTTTACTGCTATAGAAGATTAAATGGGATTGTAAAACTCCTATCTCTTTTTGTGGTGTTGACAGGGTTATTTTTGTTATTAATACATGAAGAAGTGAGGCTATTTGAAGTTTTGAAGCATAACTTCACAAGCTTTGGAATATAGCCAAGTATATAATAAAAAATTTACAATGTGTTTCCTTTTCTGACTTTTGGCTATAACACAGAAGGCATTTCCATGGTTATATTTTTCACTATTGGTGATAATTATTAGGGTTTTAGCAGGTGATAATTAGTCATGCCGTTTTCCTTGATCCGTGCTTAGAAACAAAGAAGAAATAGGATGCAGGAGTCAGACAGAAATCAAAATACCAGCTTTATTACTAATGAAACTGGTTGGGAAGCATGGCTTAGGTGTGTAGACACAGGGTTTTCCTGGATCATTATAACTAGGTTCAGTTTGAGTGCTAGAACACTCACAATAACAGTGGCTTAAACAAGGGAAGGACTTTCTTATTGAAAAGTTCAGATGTGTCAGGTCAGAACCAGGAGAATGTTCTGCAGTACCAAACACCTAAACTCCTTTCTATCTTGTTGATTCGTTATGTGTAGCTTCCTTTCTTGGAGTCATCTTGGGGTCCGGGATGGCTACTCCAGCTCTAGTCGGAACATAGACGTTCCGGCCAACAGGAAGAAAGAGGAGGAGAAGGGGGGGAATCTCCATTTAAGGACACCTCACTTCTGCTCCTCTTCCATTATCCGGAACAAAGTCCCTCAGCCATATCTAACTAGAGGAGTGAGTATTCTGGGTAGCAGAGTACCCAGGTAAAATTGAGAATGGTATTACAGAAGGAGAGAAAGAATACTGATGGAGAACTTGTAGTCTCTGCCACATTCCTGACTTAAATTTATGCAACCAGACAGAGGCAAAGCCAGGCAACCACCAGCGTTCCTTATGAAGAGGGGCAAGCTGCTTGCCACGGACCAGACTTCCCTCAAGAGTAAGTTGCTTGGAGGAGAGGAAGGCATAAGGCGCTGGGCCGCACATGCTTGGTTCTCATTCCCACCCACTGGCCTCTCTTAGTGGTTGGGCAGCTTCCTTCCTAATTGATGCTTGGCTTTTCTAAGGGGCCGTACAGCGAACTGTCGAAAGGGAGGAAAGCAGTACACGATTTGGCACCACAGTAACAAGGTTTTCTTAGTTTTCCCTCATCCAGCCTTTCTTTGTCTTCACAGTCCATTAGATTAAGAAATCTTCCCGAATAGTCGTAAGAGAGTTCTTCTTCTGGCAAAATGTCTTTGGCTGCAAAGAGTGCCAACCTAGGTACCATTGAGTCAATCCGGACAGGAATCATCAAGAGGTTTGGCTCACAAGAATGATTAAGGAATCTTCCAATATTTCCTAAATAGGTAGGGTCAACAAATGTTTCCATTATCTGCCCATTATAAACATGTTCCCTGATGGCTATTATGTAATTTGAGTCACATACCGTTTGTAAGTGAATTCTTCTCTGTGCTTCAGAGAATCCTAAAACCTCGCCAGCATATTCACAGACAAATCTTCCTTTTGGTATAAATTCCAAGGTACGAAGTCCCCAACCTTTTTTATCTGTCTTGAACACCTGGAGGTGGAACTGCAGACCCCTCTGGACCACTCTGTTTCTGCAGTGGTCACCACACTGGCACAGGACATTGCATTCAAAAACAGGCTTGGCGTACTTTGCTTCCCATCCAGTATCTCTAAGGCATGAATTAGCATCATAATTTTCCTCATAGTGGAGACAGGAGCAAGTGCCAGGGAGGCAGGGAGTTTTGACACAAATGCATCCGGGAAAGGTTATTTGAGTGGGATCCATGTCTGCACCCGGTCCACGTACATGATCAGGTGTGTACTGTAAAAAATACAAATACTGTCAGTATGGCATGCTGTATATTTCATATATATTTCAAGCAGCTTTTGGCTGGGACACTCCCATATATATAAAAACAGGACAAAACTGACAAAACACAGTATTATAATAAATACTGCCTGAAGAGATACCTTTCCAATTTAAAAAAATAAGATTAATTTTTCTTTTCTTTTTTTTTTCTTTTTCCCAAAAATTGTTTCACAAAAGATTAGTTTTTAGATTTAAAGTTTTGTGGTTTTATTTTAGGTATAAAGCTAGCACTAGGAAAATATGTTTTTTCTCTTATCAGAAATGGAAAGTTTTGTAGCTTATTTTGTTTTCCTCTTAGCTTTTTTTTTATATAGAACAAGGGAAACATTTATTAAAAATATTTAACTGTCTAATACATTATACTTTAACCCATATTTATAGTAAAGAATTCTTACAAGGAAGAATAAACAGCTTTATGATACAATTAGTATAAGAAATATCCACATGGGGACTTCTTTGTAGTATAAAAACACCATACATCTGAAATGACCATTTGCATATAAAAGCTACCAATGATACTTTTGTGCACAATGATTAAAAATTTCATCACAAACAGAATCCAAAATATACAATTAATGCAAGCTATCCACAGCTAGCCCAATAATCAATGATGAGGAAACACTGGAGCAGGCTTAGTTCCACTTTGTCTGAAGTTACACATAATAAGATTGACTGGTATCAATGGCTCTGAGATCCAGAAATGCACTTTGATACTGTATCTGTTGCCAAAGCAACATGTAGTGTTTACAGCGGCCACCCACGGCAAGTCACTAAAGTCAACAGGGCCACCCAGCCCAGCATCTGCTTCCAGGAGGCTCATGGTGACAGCCACTGCTGCTTCATCATTACTGGGACTACTTGATCCTTGGTCATTGTCTATCATGTCCATACCTATGTGGGGGTTCTCACCCAGAATAGAAGAACTATCAGAATGTGGATAACCTGGTTCTCCTGAGCCTGTCCTGGTAGTAGGCCGCTGGAAGGAATGTCTGGAGTCCCTCCATTTAAAATCTTCTTGCCTCCTGGAGAAGAGGCATGAGGGGAGGTGTACTCGTGATGTTCAATGGGCTGGAGCCACAGCTGGAAGGTGAGGACCCTCTTATCCTGTGGATTTCCATGATTTCCTCAGCATTCATTTGACCTGTTTTTCCTGCCCCAGCCCTTATTCCCCCTGGAATCCCTGGAACAGTGGGGTGAGTCCTCTTTGGGCTACCTTCTCCAGAGGGCAGCGTGCTGTCCATGCTGTGCGGGGCGCAGTGAGCTGTGGGAAGGTTGGGTCCCGCCTTCCAAGACGTTGGCTAAAACAACAGTGTTGGTCGAAACCATGTATTCTACTTCCTTGGTCCAAGGGTTCATGAAACTGAACCATCGACTCTGTAGTGTGATGAAAGAACCATCTTTGATTTTAAACTTATAGCAATTTGTTGTGATCTTTTCTCTCATCTGTACAACTTGCCTATGACATTCTGCAAGATGTCCTATGTCATCTTGGTGAAAATATTCATAACACGATGTGCCTAGAAGTTCTTGTGGTAAATATGCCAAAATAGCTGTTGCCCTCTGGTCTACAAAAACAAACTTGCCGTCTGTTGCGTGCCGAGAAACATAGTCCATGGATTTCAAACTGATTTCCCCGTTCACCGGTTATGGAACCGTGTGAGAAAGTAGTCGTCCGATTGCGACAAGGCAGCTGAGGTTACACCCCTCGTTGTCCGGCTCATTGTCTTCATCCAGCCCCATCTTTGTGGGCACCAGCTTTTCAAATAGCCTGTGCTGTGTATTGTGCAGAAGGTTTTTCGATCTGCTTTTTTCTTTGAGCAGGTGGAGGGGAAGTCCTTGTCTTCAACCTTTACCGAAGGCCTGTTACACTTCATCCTACAGAAGAAAGAACGTGTGCTCCAGAACATAATCGAGATGGCCCGGGGTTGTATCTGTTGTAACTGGAAGCCCAGTCTTTGCGGCTGTGAGCCGCTCCCGGGCTGTGGTGTGGGAGGAGGAGAGCTGCTCCTTGACTTTGGCGATATCTTTCGGATGCAGGTCGTCAAACAAACTCTGACCGATCAGATCCTTCTGGCTGTAGTTGAAGATCTTGAAGACAAGACTCTGAGACAAAGAGTATCTTCCCTCGGTCACATCCTACGACAAATAAAAATCCATCTGCTGCCCTGAGGTGTTTTAGTTCATCATCTGATAGAAAAGTGGGTTTGTAGTTTGCTTCCGTACATGGATTGGTGCCACCTCTTAATGTTTTCATGTGCTGAACAGCCATCCTTAGTACAGTAAGTTCATCTAATTTCCTGGACATGGTGTTGCACCTTGGTACCAAAGAAGCCAGTTCATCAATAAAACTGTTCATTTTATCCTGACGCTGCTTTTCAATCTGACTGTGAGCTTCCCTTGCATTTTTGAGCCTTCCTTGGTGCTCTGTGTATTCTGACCTTCGATGAGGGTCATCTTTGTCTGTGTCCATTTCTTGGTAGTCAGTGGAGCTGCCCTTCCACCTGCGGTTGCAGTCCACGCTGCTGGTGCCCAGGGAGCTGGACAGCAGGTCAGTGGGGCCCGAGGACATGAAATCACTGATGGTTGAAGAAATGTCCATTCTCTGGTCTGCCATTGAATGCTCTTGCAACTCCAAACCCGGCTGAGGAGGTTATGCCTGCTGCAGGAAGGGGTCTGGGCTCTGCACAATAGGGCTAGAATCCTCTAAGCTTTGGATATCAGGAAAATCAGTGCTGAATTTCGTGTTTGAATGCAGGTAAGCATCCTATTCTTAGCTTTTGATCTCTTTTACCTTTATGTGACAATACCTATGCATATATATGTATTTTTATTGTGAGTTACTTCAGATCTTTTTTGGGAATAAGAAAATTATAAATGACAAATAAATCAACTGCAGATGGAATTTCAAAAAATGGTTATTTGTCAAATAGATATTGGTAGGTATTTAAGTTTATTGTACATGTATTGTATACATGTAAAGAAATCTTGTTCTTATTAAATGAAAAAGGGATAATATGAAAAAATTTTTCAGTTTTTGAAATGTACCTCTATTTTCAAAACCTTACATTTATAAAATGTTATGGAAAAAGATGACAGTCCTCAATCTAAAAATCTCTATGTAGTTAATCGCTATGTGAAGCCTGATCTCTAGTTATATGCTTAGTGGCATCATGAAGTGTATTTTCAAACCCTGAAGATTAAAATATCTTTCATGAGCCCAGCGGATTTCTTTATGTATAGAACAATTCTTGCTTATATGGAACCTAATGCATTTATTTATACCTGCCTTGCTCCAAAAAGGACTTAATGAGACTTGCCAACAGGTAAGATAAATGAACAATAGGTAAAAAGAGTGAGGTGAAGGGGGACATGGCAGCAGACTAGTCCAGTGAGCTTCGAGTGTGTAGCAGAAGTAGAGTGGACATTCGGCTCCTCCCGAGAGCAGCCGCTTCAGGGAGGGACGCACAGCCATGTGTGGCTTGCACTGTCTGTAGGGAGCAGTCTCACTCTTCAGAAAAAGCATTGACTTTTTGCAGTATGGAGACCAGAGAGAAATTTCACTAATGTATCCTTGTAAACCATTTTTTTCCCCAGGCAGCATCTCATGGGCTGTTTTTTATTCTGGCCCTCAGCAAAGGCCACTGGCATCCAGCCACAGCACAGTTGGGGAAGGCGGTTCCGCACGGCTCCAGCTGAGTGGCATTTCATGGGGCTAGACAGAGGAACGTTCGCACAGCATGTCCTTCAGTCGGTCCTCCACTAATATTACGTCTCTAGGCCGAGCTTTAGAGGGGCATGGAACGGCGTGTGGTCGTACCCCCTGCGGGGGCCTCGGGTGGAGCTATGCAGTTAAGTGCAAAACCCTATACTTTAAAACACTGAGCTGGGGAGAAGGATGGACGTCCTCTTGTGAAAGATGAGGAGGATGATGAGTGGGAGTGTCGGCGGCGGAGCGCCACCATACACCTTGGGGAGCAGAAATACCTTCTGTTTGTGTTGTCTCTTACAGCTTTAACTTAGCAGGGATGTTCTAAAGGGACAGAGGATAACTTAGAAAAAGATGCCCTATCAGGGGGGAGGGGGGGAAATGGGCATTTATTGAAACCTTAAAATCTGTACCCCTACAATATGCCGAGAAAAAAAAAAAAAAAAAAAGATGCCCTATCAGTCAAAGTCAATGACTGCTGTCTTATACACAACCTACTTCCAGCGTTTTAAAGATTCAATGTTGCAATGTAAATGGTTACTGAGATATTTTAAGAAGTACTTCTAAAATGAAAATTTTACTATCTCTCTGTTAAACTTTTCATGAAGAATGCTTTTAAATTGATTTGTTCTTAACAGTGTATATACTTTTAATATATATACATTTTAACGTAATGTATGAAGCACTAAAGTGATTTTTTTTTTTTTTTTGACACACACATTCAGACCTTTATAATCAAGTCTGATGTACTGCAGTTTCTAACCAGGAGTACATATTATTCCTTGTTGAAAAACGGTTTTATTTGCTTATTTTTACTTACAAATTAAAAAGATACTGTAGAATCTAGTGATATATTTATTTGTAAAAATTCTGCAATTAAACTTTCTGTACAATTTAAGATCATTTAGGGATAAGATTACAAACAGTAGCTAATTCCAAATGAGCTGCAGATAACTTCCAAGGGATAATCAAGGTTTCTGGGCAAACTTCCCATTTAAAGAGAAAATTTTTTTCCCTGATGAATTATAATCATTGACCCTGATATCAATAGTCATTGCAAGTCATTTTACTTTGTGTCTCCATTTTCTCTTCCATAAAAAGTAAAATACCATTCCACAAAGATATTTCACCTATCTTAAAAAAATTATTATACTCAAGAATAATCTTTTGAAAAGGTTATTGGTCTTTAAACGTTGGCCTAATTTATGATTATGTAATTATCCATCTTTTCAGGTATTTAACTACT